ACTACGAAACCACACCCCGTTAGCGCCCGGTGGAAGTTATGCCTTGACTCGGAAATGGACTCCGAGAAATGATCGGAGGCAGAGTGCAGTGCCGACGGAAGCTGTCAAGCTGTGACTTTGCCGATCCTCTTGTTGAAGGACACCGAAAAATCACAACAGCTCTCGTGACAACTGAAGAAACGTGGAGCGGAATATTATTTACTCTGGGACTATACCAAAGGCAACTGCCTCAACGTTAAGGCGTGCGCAGCGCCGTGCAGGGCTGTGAGAAGTTTCGTTTTCTTGGCTTGAGGTCTGAGTAATGGGAGTGTTTCAATTGGAACTTCTTCGCTGCCCATAAAGTTCACCCATCGGATGTCTTATACGGCTCTTGTTCCCAAACCCCAAGGTCCTTTCTTCCCTTCTTGCGTGTATATTGACCACCAAAACGGACACTGAGCAGAGGAGATTCCGATGTCGCCAATGGGCAAGTTCTTCTCGAGAAACTCGCAGCCGGGTAATGTTACGACCAAGAGGACGGACAACAAGAGGCGACTCAAGCTATTGAAGTCTTATGCCCCCGACTGGTTTGTGAATATTTAGAACAGTCGCCAAAATTTGCTGATCAAGTCATCAGGATAATCACCATTCTTTTGGCGTATGTCCTAACGTTATGCATTGCTAGGAGGGTTTGCTCAGGTATCCCGCAGAGTCCTGTTCTTTGGTCTTAATGGTGTTCATGGATTCCGACGAGAATTTTCTGTCAACGATGAAACGTATGTCATCTCGTCATCTTCGCATCATCCCTTGACGATGACCCTTTCCTTAGAATTCGCTTTCCGTGAGTTCATCACAGTCAATCGCCGTCCGGCAGTAGCATTAATCCTGGAAATATAGCTTTGCAGTGAAAGAACGCGTACCAGTATGTCCGATCCTTGAAGGTGATCTGCATGATGTTGATTTTGTTTCTGCAGGACATTGCTCTATACTTCATCGCTGTTGTGGCTCCTCTAGTCATTCAACTTGTCGTCAACTTGATATCAGTGCGCTCCTTCTGGGACTACCACAACAGCGCGCTTGGATGTTCGTTCCCATCATCTGTCTGTCTGAGACCTGTACTTACTCTTGCCTCAGTAATCCTTGGTCTGGTTATCACGGGTGCTGTCACACAGTTTACCAAGATTACCGTCGGTCGACCTCGTCCAGGTAGGCTTAATTTTCGGCCTCCCACCAGTGAGGATGAATTAACATGGTGAAACTTAATCCCAGATTTGCTCTCGCGTTGCATGCCGATTCCCGGATCTCAAGACCCAACTTACGGATTGTCAACTGATGCAATCTGTACTAACACCAATGAGGCAATCATGATTGATGGCTGGCGAAGCTTTCCCAGTGGTCACTCCAGCTGTGCGTTCCTACTCACCAGGTTTCCTGCGAGAGACTGACGTTCAGTGTTGTAGTATCTTTTGCGGGTCTTGGATTTTTGTCTTTCTATCTTGCAGGTAAAATGCACCTTTTCGATACTAGGGGTCATGCAGTAAGTGTCATCAAAATAATCCGCAACCTTCAATTAACCACCCTACTGCGCGTGTACTAGCACAAGGCTTGGATATCCGTGACCCCCTTGTTTGGAGCAACTCTTGTGGCCATCTCACGCACCATGGACTTCAGGCGTATGTTTAAGCTTCATCTTGAGCGCAAAACGGTCACTAAAGCATCACAGATCACTGGCAGGATGTCATAGCCGGTGCCATCTTGGGCTTCGTTATCGCTTACTTTGCCTACCGTCAATACTTCCCCTCCCTCGCCTCGCCTATGTCGCACCGTCCCTACTCCCCCCGCGTTCCTCGCGACGAGCCCGTTTTGCCCACCAGCACTGCAGATGCACAGGGGTTCCGTGACAGTGCTGAAGGCGAACAAGTTGAGCTCATCGATGGCGGTGTGCGGAAGCCTGACCCTGGTCACCTTGAGAGCATCTGGAGGGAAGGAGACAGCGAGGGCAGCAATGCTGAGAATGCTTGATGCACGGACACGACCTTTATGTCAGCAATGGACTTGTAGGTAGATATTCCTAGTAGCCTAATTATTTTGGACGCTATTCGTACATGAACCCCATGCTAGTCATTTTCCCGATCCGAGGACTCTTGTTACTTGGTATCTTTGGACCTCTGAAAACACAAGCTCGTAGCTGCGCTTCTGGGCTCCGATGATCCAAAATAATCTGGGTCTGGGCGCGTATGCCGCTTCCCAGAGTCCCTTTTCTACTGTTTACGTCCCACCATTCTGTCTGTCTTAGCCATTCTCCACTAGTTTGGCCTTGTCTCTGACGGTGAGCTCAGATGCGTTCGACGCATGATATTACGATGGCACCATCGGGCCTCGTCCGACGAGTGCCGAGTCACTTTCAGTCATGTTCAGAGTCGGACATTTCATTTCAGCGCTGTAATCTGGACTGATCCGATTCACGACTTCACGCGTTTCATTCCAACCACGTCCTCCACCGTACAATCGCCCTCAGCCCCTACCGATCATCTGCTCTCATGTCTGATCGAGCCATCAACTTTGGAGCAGGGCCATCAGCTCTCCCTGAGGACGTGCTCATAGAGGCCGGAAAAGGTCTCCTCAATTTCCAAAATACGGGCATCGGTATCGCAGAGATATCGCATCGTTCTGAGGAGTTTGATAAATTCCTCTGGGAAGTCGAGGAAGATATTAAGACACTCCTTCAGATCCCTGAGGGCTATAAAGTCCTTTTCACTCAGGGGGGAGGGACGACTCAATTTTCTGCAGTCGTTCTCAACATGCTTGCCAGGCATAACAGTCTCGAGGGTCGTCGACCAGGGGAGCCTGTGATGGACTATGTCGTCACCGGATCGTGGAGCCAAAAGGCGATGAAGGAGGCAAGGAGACTTGGAGGTGGAAAGGTCAACGTCGTGGTTAATGCACAAACTACTTCTGAGGACGGGAAGAAGACCTTCAATCACATCCCACATCGCGACACTTACACAGATAAATTCTCTAAGGACCCAGCTTTCGTCTACTACTGCGCCAACGAGACGGTTGACGGTGTCGAGTTCAACGATGACCTGAACAGCCCTACCTCGTTCCCTTTCGACGCTCTCCCAGATGATGCTCCGCTCGTCGCGGATTACTCCTCCTCCTTCATGTCGCGCCCTATCCCCCGCCTCGAAAAGCACGCTGTTATATACGCCGGCGTTCAGAAAAACCTCGGACCCGCAGGTTTGACCATCGTCATTGTCAGAGATGAGTGGGCCAATGTGATCGACAACAATATTCCCTTGCCTTTGTCGTACAAGACATTGAGCGAAAGTCGCAGCTTACACAACACTCCGCCGGTCCTATCGATATATATTACGGGGCTCGTACTAAAGCGGATGTTGAAGGTGGGGGAAGCGGCAGGGAAGGGGAATGGGAAGCAGCTGGAATATTACGCTAAATGCACCAACAAGAAAGCTTCCAAGCTATACGAAGCCTTGAAGGAGGGCGAAGCCCGCAGTGTTTTCAAGAGCAAGGTTGCGGAGGGATCTGCTAGCAAGATGAACATTGTGTTCGATGTACTGGGTGGCGAGGACAAGCTGGAGGAATTCGTCTCCGGTGCTGATCGGAAAGGAATGAAGGGTGTCGCCGGTCATCGGTAAGTACTTTCCCTTCTCGACGTGCTCTCCGCTTACCATCATTGTTTTTAGGTCGGTCGGAGGTATGTTGTGCACTTTCCGCCCGGGATACATACTAACAGTAACACAGGAGTCCGAATCTCGCTATACAATGCAGTCACGGAAGAACAGGTGGATAAGATGATTCAGTATATGAGGGAGTTTAATTAAATTAGCAGCCTGCCGCCGAGATTTTCGGAACCGATGGATGTAAAGACGGATGTCCGCTGCTTGTCTGCTGCTGTAAAATTAAAGTGACAAGGGTGGATGAGTGGAAATCTTGTATGCTTGCTATAGTAATCAATAAGTTAATGTGTTGCAAGTCACTTTGCCGGAGTGGTTAACGGGATCGCCTGCTATCAGCCAAGCGGTTGGGCTTTGCCCGCGAGTGTTCGAATCGCTCAGGTGACGCTTTTTGTGCCTTTTTCTTGTTTTCAAAGTCCTTCTATCTGTCGATGTGGAGTAGGGACAGGCCTGTGACCGTCGGAAGGGCTGCCATGCTCTACATGACAGACTTAGACAGATCGCCTCGCGATATGGTTAGTTATCTCTGGCCGTAGTGGGAAAGGGGCACCGAGCCTGAGGAGAAATGTGTGAATTTAAACTGGACCTCTCTGTCAGCCATGTCACTCTCCCTCGAAGGTGCGTCCGCTTGAGATAAGAAAAAGCTCATATCTCTGTGAAGCCCAGCTGCAGGCACGCATGCATTCAACTTCCTATTCAGCGTCCGGCAGGCAGGTGGCCGCTCACCAACCTTCGTTCTAGGATATAACACACATATCTCAATGGAATATCATATGCCCCATGGCTGAGTTGGTTACAGCGTCCGACTGTTATGCTTGAAACATCGGAAGGTCGTGAGTTCGAGCCTCACTGGGGCAGTACCTTTTGGCTGTTCTTACTATCTTCAGGCACAGATTGTCTGTCGTCCTTCGCGGGTATGTTCATTTTTATCACTATCGTCGGGATAATGTCAGTGTGATGGGGAGTGGTGAACAAAGTACTGCTTCCTTGTCACCGCATGTTACGCTAAGTGACATTGTCCATACCAGGCTGCTGAACGAGACCGAAGAACACCGCGAGAACTTGAGGTGGGAATTAATAGGTTTTTTACTGCCAGATCCAAGCCAGATCTGACAACGTCGTCATGTGGTGAACAAATGTACCTCCCAGATTGCTGATGGCCTGTTAGGAAGCTCCCCACAAGTATCTCCAACCATGGATGAAATGGCCAATCAACTGAGGTCACAAACGCGCTTACCGGACAATAAAAATACTCTAACGTCCCATCATGGAGAAAAATTTGTCCAAATCATCTTAATTGACGAGATCAGGAAGCAAAAGGAACTGCCCCAGTGAGGCTCGAACTCACGACCTTCCGATGTTTCAAGCATAACAGTCGGACGCTGTAACCAACTCAGCCATGGGGCATATATTTTTCTGTTGGAAGTCTGCGCATAGATTGAGGGTGGTATCCATCGCCCCCTGAGCCTGTTCGATGATCCCATAGGCCTCCTCCATCCCATTCCACCAGCTGAGTGAAACGATGGCAAAGAAAAGCAAAACTTCTGGCTCTGATCCATCCAAAGAAAAATCAGCTCCTCGAAATGTCGTATTCCCAGACATATCACCCAAGGACTACCTGGCCAATCGCGTTCTCCTCGAAGACCAGATCATCCTGATAGACGTTCGTCCTCCCGCACCAGCAGCCATCGCTGAATAGTCATCCTCAAAGTATGGTCAGGACTTTCTATCTGCAGAGGAGTGCAAACGCTTTCTCAAGTTCATTGATGAGCTGCCTCTTGAGCTTACCCCTCCGAAGAAGAAGGGGGAGGCTGAGAGAGTGAACTGTGAGTACTATGTATTCTGCATGAGTGGTCTCGCATGGCTCATGATCTGAACAGATAGATTTTCGGTGACTTCTGTAGCCTTTGCTGAAAGGCTGCACTCGTTGATGCTACCGCACCTTCCGTCGTTTCCCTATGCTCTCTCGGTCAGACGACCGGCCGTAGTGGATGTTGACCAGCCTCGGTTACCTCATTCATGTAACTCGAACATTCGCATGTACAAGTATACCGCGTCTCAGTACTTTGGCCCCCACTATGACGACTCCGTAAAAGACGCGGCGACAGGTGCCCGGTCGGAGTGGACGCTCTTGATTTATCTCAGTGGCGTCGAGGATGGTGTTGAAGGAGGGGAGGTAAGTATTCCTGGAAGGATTACCCCGCGTCTTGCTAAGCTTCATCTAGACGCTGTTCTACGAAGATGAGAGAGGGAAGCCGCGTGAAACTATCACAGCTCCCCTCACTCGAGGCACCGCGCTGCTTCATCGGTTTGTGATACGTTTGCTTTTAGGTCTCCTGTGCTTATTGTTATACCCAGGCACGGTAACGAATGTATGCTGCATGAGGGTTCTGTGGTCCGCAAGGGGACGAAGTACATCCTCCGCTCCGATCTCATGTTCATGAAATAGATCCTGTCGTTCATACAGTACGGGATATGAAATCTTTTTGGATTGCGCCGACCCAGACTACTACCGACGGCCCTTAGATTTTTTCCCCCTAGGCATCCCAGCCTCGACAACATCATCATCGCGGTCCTTCTCATCTCTCCCTCCTTCCTCTCGTCTCCGCTTCTTCCCACCGCCTGCCTTTGCCTCCTCTTTAAGCTCGTTCACAGCCAGTCTCCCAGCTTCGTCCACACGCTCCTTCAGTAGCATCACTTCTTCCTTACTGGTGGGGAACAGTTCGAGCTTCTTATCAATTACTTTTTCTATTCGCTGAAGGAGCTCGACGTCGTATTGGGTGACCATCGTTATTGATTTTCCGGCGCGTCCTGCACGGGCTGTACGCCCTACGCGATGGATGTAGTCTTTTGAATGGGTTGGGATGTCGAAGTTTATGACTACATCGACGGATGGCAGGTCAAGACCACTATATTCAAATGGTCAGTAAGTGAAGAGCGACAGTATCGAAGTGTACTCACCGACTGGCAACGTCAGTCGCGACCAGAATTTTTCGCCCACCAGTTTTGAATTTGTTCAGAGCGCCCAGCCGCTGACTTTGGCTCAGTTGGCCGTGAAGAGGGACAGCGGGGAATCCGAGAGTTCGGAGTATGATGGACAATCTGAAGCTGTGCATGAGTTGATTCTGGAGCCCATCATACTGTTGTCGTACCGTTGAGCATCATGCACCGTCCGAGTGAATATGATGCTAGAATTGGAGGCCAATTCGTTTGCAAGATATATCAGGTGTACATCTTTGTGTACTAATGGCACAAATAGATAGTATTGCAGAAGGGTCGATACTGTTTGGTATCTAAGGTTTGTGCGTTAGTATGGCGCACCATTGGAGAGTAGCAATGCTCACTTTGATGACACCTCGACCCGGACAGGGTTAGACAGACTGGCTCTTTGGAGTTTTGCAACCTTTGTGGTCATGGTTGCAGAGAAGAGATAGGTGGTACGTTCCTTTGGTATCACTTTGAGGATCTGATCTATGTCTGCACCGAAGTCCATGTCTAGCAAACGATCGGCTTCGTCCATGACCTGCATACATACGTAAAGAGAACGCTACTGAGGATGGTAATGGAGACGAACCAGGAATTTCAAGCTCCTAAGACTGAATCCCTTTGTGCTCTGTAGATGATCATTGAGACGACCGGGTGTTGCGACTATGATGTGCGGCCGCTTCGCAAGTGCGACTGCCTGAGGCATCTTATCGACCCCTCCGATGAGTACCAAAGTCCGAACACCCATCGCAGCACCCAACGACTCAAACTGTTGCGATATCTGGTATGCGAGTTCACGTGTGGGCGCAAGTATGCACGCGAAGAGTCCTTTTGGCTCTTCCCATAGTTTTTGGAGGATAGGCAGGGCAAAGGCAGCTGTTTTGCCTGATCCCGTTTCGGCGACACCGATAATGTCGCGGCCTTCAAGGGCATGAGGGAGGGCTTGTTGTTGGATTTCGGTGGGTATTTTGAAGTTCACCTGGTTGAGGGCGTCGAGGAGGGGTTCTATCAGACCAAGGTCCCTGAAGGATTTTGGTGCTGGAGCGGAGGTACTGGCTTCCTCTGGTCCAGGCATTTTGGCGGGATTCTCGACAGACGGTTTGGCCTGTGAGATGTGGGACAGTCTCGGGACTTGCTTGACCGCAGACTTAACAATGACTTGATATGCGTGTTACGGTAGTAAGTAAAAGATTTTCCCACAATTAGGAAGTGTACTAGTACTTTTGGACTTGTACGTTGACGGTGACTTAGCTTGTTCCAGAATCCAGCTAACTAAAGCCAGGTCCTTCAATAACTGGTTTCATTATCACATAAACCAGGTCAACACCGCTGGGATCACTGGAGCGTCTACGTTATCAAGATACTGCAGAAGCTGGTCTGCAACATATATCGAGTCGAGGCACGCCCCTTGGAATGTCGAATGAGCATGTCCTCGTGACGTTCGCTGCCCCTCCTTCCTTTCAGTCCTCCGATAGCTCCAAACAAGTCATAGCTGCATTGCGTTCTCAGCTACCCTTGCGAAGCATCCACTGGAAGTCAGCGTCTCGGCCAAGCATACGTACGATCCAAGAACTCGACGTTTCGCTCGTTTCGCTCGACTCCCTCCGCGATGAGCACACTTCTCAGATCCCGGTTACCCTTCTCGAGAAACCCCTTTTGAATCTATACGTGGTGGCTTGCGAGGTATGTGACCTCTCTCCACTATAGATACGCGTCCATTTACTGTCCCGCAGGATAATGAAACATACAGAACGACTGTCAAGAAGCAGATCAAAGACTGGCAAACATCCGTCATGTCGCGGAAGAACCAAGAATGGCTAATAGTACACGTCGTCCGTCCCGACGCAAAGATAGTGGACCGCAAGTTCTTCACTATGAAGGGCTCCGTATTGGACAAAATCAAGGCAGACTTCAACGTCGACAAACGAGACAGGTACAGGTTATCTGTTAATCTCAGCCATAGTCATATTTGTCAATAGCGTAATATAGGTGCGTGCAGCTAGCTTGGTCCGCTGGCGAGCAGAGCCCCGCCGTTTGGGCCGACCTCATCAACAAGATCAAGGACGGGCTTCTTTCTGCTCTTGATACCGCTGTTTCATCACGAGAGGACGAAGTCAGGCGTTCCGAGGGCCAACGACATATGCCCGGGTGGAACTTCTGCACCTATTTCATATTAAAGGTAGGCTTTGCCAATATTTCAAGCAAGATCCATTTGGAAAGCCTATGCCGTCCAGGAAAGTCTGGCTAGTTCATACGAGGGCGTAAATCTCTTCGAAGATGCGCTGCAGCAGTATAACGAGCTCGAGGCAGCTTTCATACAGGTCCTGAGGGAGAAAAACATGTCGTGGTTCGGAAGTCTTATTCAGCCAGCGCCCAAGGACGATTCAATGCCTCTTCTCTCTATCTCCAAGAAACCCTACCGCGATCTCGTCCTTGCCAACACAATATCCGTTTTCGATTTCCGGATATACGTTCTAGCACGACAAAGTGCGTTGTTGAGCAAGATACACCATCCGGCCGAGATCTGTCGTAAGGCGATCATGTTCTTGAGCACGTTTGGAAGACGATTGAGGGAAGTTGAGGTTAGGGAGTGTATCAATGTATCCCTTAGCATAAACTCATGCGATTTTGTAGCCGTCGCTCCCAGAATATTTCATCGAGTCTTGGACCTTCTCTTCGGCCCTCAGTGTTGTGGATCAGTGTGACACGTGGACTTCGTCATGGCCGGAGATGGAGGGTGTATCGCTCGCACGATACATCGCGAGCAAAGGAGAGTTGATTGAGCTTGCTAAAAGCCAGGTTTGTGCCCCTACTGACGAGGGGATCCGATTATCCTGATCAAACACGCAGCTTGATATTATTGGCGTCAGAATCGGCCACTTACCCTCGAAATCACCATTTTCGCTGGCGATACCGGAACCAGTGACTGTTACGCATACACCACCAATGTCTGACAAGAGATCCTCTGCCCAGCGTATAAGCAAGTACGAAATCATGCTTGCTATCGGGGAGAACGAGGCCTTCTACGACCTATACACCACCCTCTCGAATCGGGCGATTGATATATACGTGAAAGCGGGGCGAAGGAAATTCGCTCTCAAGCTTCACGGTAGCCTTGCCGCCCTTGATATGTAGGCTGTCCGTTCTCTTAATCACCTGTTATACTGAGCGCTCGCATACAGCCATCGTGGAAGACTCTCCAACGCACTCACTATATTTTCATCTCTCCCTGCCCATTATGCCCCTCATATGTGGACGTCCTTGGAATCCTTCATGCTCTCGCGAGCAATCGATACTCACGCTGAGCTCCAGAAACCGCATGACCGCGACTGGATACATATACTACTTGCCTTCCTCAAGACGTACGTCAATGAGTCAAGCACCGAGTTAATCATGTCCAAGGAGGACATCAAAGAGTATGT